GGATGATGTAAAAATAGAGCCAACTGAAATGAAATTGATAATAACAGAACAGTATGAAGAATTATATAAAAACTTTAAAACCTAGAGGAAATGGACAACTGTTCAGATACTCACTCACTACCTAAAACAATCCAAAGGAAGAAAATTGGTCCAGACAGCTTCACTGGTGAATTCTACTCACATCAATTCTACTCACATGATTTCAGAATACAGAAAAGTTTGGAATATTGCTAATTCATTCTATGAAGCAAGAATAACCCAGATACCACAGCCAAGTAAAAATATCACTTAAAAAGAAAATTATCCTTCAACTGACCAACATTCCTCATGAACATAGATACAAAAATTCACAACAAATACTTACCGAATAGAATCATATAAAAACTTGCATTTATCATGATCAAGTGGGATTCACACCAAGTATACAAAGAAAAACAGTGTAATCTACCTTGCCACTAAAACAAAGAGGAAAACCATGTGATCATCTCAATTGATGCAAAAGACATCTTGACAAAATTCAACACTATTTTCTGATAAAAGAATCTCAACAAAATAGGAACAGAGGTAAACTCCTCCAGAAGGACAAATCATATATATAAAACCAACCCGCCAACACTCCTCTCAGTGGAGAGAGAGAAAGCATTCAAAAGCACAAATAAAAACCCACCAAACTACAAGAACCCAGAGAACTACACAAGTGAAAAAACATGCCATGATCATGGATGGTAAGACATAATATTGTGAAAGTAGCAATATTACCAAAATCAATTTACAAGTACAATCTGATCTCAATCCTATCATCATTTTTCAACAAGATTGTAAAAGTAATCACTCCCTTCATATGAAAAGAGAAGAGAGACCAGATTAAAAAATCGTATTAAAAAAGAAAAACAAAATAGGAGGCCTCACACTGTCTGATCTCAAAACCTACTACACAGCCACTGCAATCAAACTAGCTTGGTACTGGTAAAATGACAGTTACCTTGACCAACAGAATAAAACAGAGAACTAAGAAATAAATCTATCTACCTGTGATAAACTGATCTTTGGGAAAGAGATGAAATCCATTCGTGAAGAAAAAACAGTCTCTTTAATAAACAGTGCCAGCAAAACTGGATATCCATCTGCAGAATACTGAAACAACAATATAAAAACTAACTCGAGATCGATCAAGGATCTTGGAGTAAAATGTAAAACAATAAAGGTAATTTTTTTAAAAACTGGTGCAAACTTAGAAGCCCTAAGCTATGATTTAGACAGAATATCAAATATAACTGATACATAACTAACACAGAATAAATTGAAAGTGTAGGACCTCTTGAAAATTAAATCCTATATGCATCAAAAAACTTCTTCAAAAGAGAACATAGGAACTTGGGGGGAAAATATTTGCCTATGGGACATTTAACAAGAGAATAATCAGTAATATTTCTAGAAAAGTCCAAACAAGGAAAACAACTTAATTACAAAATGGGCAGAGAACTTGAACAGACACTTCAGCAAAGGAGACACTTCGATGACATATTAAACACATGAAGAAATGCTCAAAATCATTAATTACTAGAGGGATGTAAATCAAAATAATGAGCTATCATCTGACCCCAGCAAAAACAACAAAGTTCAACTGGAAGGCAAACAACAAATACTGGCAAAGGTGTGGAGAGACTGAATCCTGATGGAAATATAAAATAGTGCAATCAGTATGTGAAGCAGTTTGGTGCTTCTTTCTTTGTTTGTTTGGTTTTTTGTTTGTTTTTTTTTTGTTGGTTTGTTGTTGTTTTTTCTAGTGGTGTTTTGTTTTGTCTTTAACTTGTTGTGTGCCTTCGAATCAGATCCGACTGGCACAGGAGACTGCCCCTCCTTCTCCAATGGACCATCTGGTGGATTCAAACCAAGTGTTTTTGGTATTGCAATGTCGGTGCTTCTTCAGAAAGGAATAGAAATGCAATTTGATTCCACAATCACACAACAATGTATACATCCCAAAGAAATAAGAGCTGTGACACAAACTGACATACACACACCATGTTTACTGCAGCATTTACAAAAAGCAAATAGTTGGAAATAATCCAAGTGGCCATATTAGATAAATGATTTAAAAAACCACAGCATAGTCACATAAGAGAGTATTAGATAATAACACTAAAAAATGATCATGAATTCCTGTAATACTGTACAACACGGATGAATCTAGAACAAATTTTGCTGAATGATTTCAATCAGTCACCAAAAAAGACAGTTATATTGTAAAACCACCATTACAGACACCTAGGGAAAGGTTTATACACAGAATCAATCTTAGAAAAGCTAACAGGGATGAGAAGGACAGGAGAGTAAAACAAATACAGGTTAAGTGAGTGAAGGTGAAGGCAATTCAATAAAGGATTGATCAGACATTGTAATTAATTAATTACATTACTCAGTGGTAATAAATGTTATTTTAAAAGTCTATGAAAGATTATATGAAAAATCATTATGGTATGTAAACATTCACTCAAATTAAAAATGCATGAAATAAAATAAACCAACAATTACATCACACTTGAGTCAAGCTCAAACTATTACCAAAACTAAACCAAACCTGCTGCTGCCACTGAGCTGATTCTGACAAACAGTGACCCCGCATGTTACAGAGTAGAACTGAGTCGGAGTTTTCTTGGCTGAAATCTTTTGTGGAAGCAGACTTCTGGGCCTTGATTCTGCAACATCACTGAGTTTCAGCCATCAACTTTTCAATCCACTCACTTACCCATCCATTCCTGTCGAGTTGGGAAGCTTCTCTTTTATTATTGTGATTTTAACAAAAACTGGGAATCTACTCTTAACTAATTCTCTACTGATTTCTGAGGCTGTAAACAGCACAAGATGAAAGACTACTTACTCATTTTTCTCCCACAAATTTGCTGATGAATTAGACTACCTCTGTGGCCTTTGGATTAGCAGTACAACTCCCTAGGGACCACTAGAGGTCTCTATCTTTCAATTAGTTGAGTATAAACTGTGACATCCAGAGGCTGTTGTAGTTGATATGTAATGCACTACTGAGTCCGAACTGGCTCTTTGCTTACTCTTCAGCAGGTGTTCAGAAGCAATAAACCACAAAGGAGAGCAGTGCCCATCTATCTTCAATGGAGCTGCTGACAGATTTTTATCCTTGTGTCTGTGGGATGGCAGCGCAGCTCCATACCACTTGGCTACCAGAACTCCTTTTATGTATCAAATTGTTTTTGTGTGCCATCGTGTTAGACCAACTGACAGCTGACCCTCCAGGGGGTTTTCTGAGGCAGTAAATCACGTGGAAAGAGACTACTCACCCTTCTCCAGCAGAGGCATCTGGTGAATTCTAACCCCATGCCTTTGGGGTTACAATGCAACTTCTTTCAACTAGGCTAAAATTAAAACCGATGATTCTATCAAGGATTGGCAAGGATATAGTAACTGTTTACTATCATACCTCAATGATGGGACTGTAACTATATATACTGCCACTTAGGGAAAATGAGAGCTTTGACTTAAAAATCAAATATACCTATTTATGACCTAGTCATTCTATGTTTAGAGAAAAAAAATATTATTACACATTAAGACTTAGATACTTACATGTAACAGCCAAATACTAGATATAACTCAACTACCCATCAACAGGTGAATATATAACAAACTTATGTATACTTATACAATAGAATACTACTCAATAAAAGGCAATGAATTTCTGAAATATCTACATGGACAAATCTCAAAAAGAGTTATAAATACAGACACAAAAAAAGAAGAATATATTACATGAACCTATTTATATAAAATTCTAGGTAATGCAAACTAACTCTAGCAACAGAAGCATATCAGTGGCTACTTCTAAATCAAAGGAGTGTGAGGAAGGAGTTATTCAGGGATAGGAATAAACTCTATGTTCAGAAATCTTCACTATCTTGACTGTCTCAAAACTCATTGCCACTGAATTGGAACCAACTCATAATTGACCTTCCAGCAGGTTTTCAGAAGCTGAAAATTGCACAAAAGGAGACTGCCCACCTGCCTCACACAGAGCCGCTGAAAGATTCAAACTGCTGGAGCGGTACCATCTTTTACACTAGCAGTGCAATAAAACACATGCCAAACTCATTCAACTGTATACTTTAATGTGTACAGTTTACTGTATCTCATATTTCACAAAATAAGAGATTTAAAACTTAAAATATCATTCTTTTTCTTTCTACATTTGATAATATCACTTCTTAAAATGTCTACAACTAAACATTTTCCCCATATTCTCTACATTTTCAAAAATGAACCCTTAAGATTTTCAATGCTAGGAACAGATGTCACTACTGCAGAGGTAAAAATACATTTGCAAGAATATTGCCCTAGCCACCTACTGTCACAATCCACTTAGCAGTCTCTACTACCTAGAGAGAGTAGTCCTGCACTGCTCTCTCCCCTCAGAGAGAGATGATTCTAGTAATTTCTTTCTTTTGCATTACTATGATGAAAAGAAAAATCATTTCAAAAAAAATTATCACTGTCACATTCTGTCTCTCTGGCATTTTTGCTTTCCAATCTTCCAAATGTCTTATGAGAACATACGTATTTATAAAGGCAATTAAATCTGAATACAGGCATCTGATTTGTCCTCCAATACTAAGTAATTTTTCTCTCCAGTTTGAAACAACTGAACAAATTCATTTACAACAAATTCTTTATCAAAGTAACTTTTAAATGCACATAGAAACTTTTTAAAGCACTGAAAAGGCACTAAAGTAAACAGGAACTATATGCACTTGCTTCAACGCACCTATAAATTCTACTTAAAGACTAAAAGTTAAGAATGGTTCTAATTTTGTAATTCAAAGACTTGTATATTAGAATCTACAACAAACATAGTTTCCCTTGCTAATTACAAGTTATCTAAACAGCTAAAGTTCTAAATCTTCTAACATCTATCAAATACTTCTTTAAAAAATGTTTTTACAATATGTTTAAAAATACTTTTGCACACTTACCTCAAGTACTGGTCCAGCACCAAGAATAATCTGTTCTACTCCACTGGCAAATCCTTTCTGACTGAGAGCAGTAAGATGGTGAATAAGAAAGTTTGTGCTTTGAGTCTTACCAGAACCACTCTCCCCTGAAATTACAATGCACTGATTCTTTCTGCGTTGTAACATTGCATGATAAGCTACATCTGCCACAGCATAAATGTGAGGCTCAAGTTTTCCTAATTGGTGGTTATCATACATTTTTACATATTTGGGGTTATAAATAGGAAGAAACTTGAATGGGTTAATAACTATCAGAATACTGCCAACATAGGTATAAATTTTTTCATGTTTAAAACGATTTCGAAGGTTTTCTAAAAGAGTTTTCTCATTCAAATCAGGTAAGCTACATAAATCATCAAAGTCCTTCTGTTGTGGTTGTGGAAGAAAACCCCTTTCCATCATCCTGCGACGTTCTTCTGTTACCCGTAGCCATGACTGAAGACTACCATAATGGATTGATCCATCAAGATTTTTTTCTCTCAAAAGAAAGCGGTAGTCCTCTCCACTCAAGCGATTTTCCAGAGCCATTCGAGGCCACAACATCATTCGCTGAACTGGACAGTCTGTTGGATTGAGTATCCATTCTTCGCCACCAAATTCTTTCACTTCTGCTAGTACATAACATTTTGTTTTGTCAAGATGGAGTCTATTTATAAGAGAATCAATCACCTCAGCAGCTGTGGAGTTTCTTCTGGCAGGAATTGGACAGTAGATTGTCCCTTCTGAAATTGTCCCAGGATATATGCGTAACGTGTGTTCATTATCCTCAAAGCGTCGTCTTCCCCCATCATTTATATTCATATTGGATCTTGTCCCATCAGCATGGACAGTACATGTTCAAGACTGTGCAAAACATTTTCTTGGCAAAACACTGTAACAAAAAAAGAAAGTGAAATATTTAGTAGTCATGTAATTATTGTTTTCTGCTATTAAAAAAAGAAAAGCATAATAATTATGCTGATTATACCATTTTAAAACATAAAAATATAACTCTTATTAGCATAGATACAATTTTGAAAACCATTTCATTAAAGCCACACAATTACTTTTTTAAAAACTGGTTTGCTTACATAATTTATATACATTGTATTTCACACTACAATTACTACATTTTACTGTCTAAACATGAGCACTTCCTAAAATAGACTTGCAGAAAACCTCCATGTTTTACTATATTAATAATTAAGTTATTTAAGATATTGAGTTATAGGATAAACTATTTTATCTCTAATTATTTCAAATGTTTCAGAGGTGCCTGGAATTAAAATAAGTTCTTCTCTTATACTTGAATACTTTCATTAAAGGCAAAAATAACGTGAACAGCAAAAACTAAAAATTTAACCACACATATCTAAGTAGAGTATGCCAAAATTTCTTCAAGGTATTCAAGAAATGGTACTGATGGAACAAAATTCAGTGAAAATCATTAGAAAACAGTAGGAAGATGAGATAAACAGAAACTAAACTAGATAAATTATGATCAAGAGAATACATGAGAAAGAATCTACCACAAGATGGACATACTTTCAGGGAATTCCAGGCTCAGAGTCCCACCCCCACCCCATGATAGATGGTGGTGGCTATTGTTGTTAAGTGAGGTAAATTTGACTCAGAAAACAAAAAGCTTGCCCTGACTTGCTGAGCAAAATAGAAAAATTATACAACTAGCTTGACTTGGCACCATTACAAATTTTATTCTACCCACCTTGACCCTGAATGCTACTATTCTGTTTAATCTATTCTTATTCACTCCTTATTCACCATGTCATTCCAATCAACTTGAAGACTCTACAACTCAAAATGTATTCCTATTTTTCACCTCAATTTCATTCTTCCATCTCTGTCAACAAAGAAATTATGCCTCACAATACTTTCTAAAACTAACAAAACCCTATTCCTTTCCATTGCCATTAGTAACATTAACTAGATATTAACAAAATGCTCTTCAAAGTGGTTCTACCAACTTACTGTTTCAGTCAGTGTAAAAGAGGTCATATTTCTCTCATCCTTTGTCAAAAGTTAGTATATCACACTTGTTTTCCTGGCATTCCGTAAATACGAAAGGCTACTACATTGGTGTTGCCTGATTACTATGGGAATGAGCAACTCTTACCCACTTATTTACCACTTGGCCAATGTTACTTATTTCTTTACACACACACACACACAGACTCACACACACTTAACAATTTTTCTTTCCTTACTGGTTTGACTAATTTTCTTTCTATGTCCTGAATATTAAACCACTTACAGTTGAATATACAACATTTATATCAATCAAGAATAAATTATCTGGTTTTTTACCACTTTTGGTTGTAGAGTTTTTAAGAAAACCAGGTTTACCAATCCTTTGCTTTATAGTTTACTTTTTAAAAACAACAGCAATAACAGCTGCTTCTTCTCCGAGAAAGCACCAAATGGCAGATGACGCCGGTGCAGCGGGGAGAGCCCGGAGGGTCCAGGGGCCCTGGGATGGGAGCCCTCCGCGGAGGCTTCGGTAGTGATCTGCGGGGTCAGGGCTGCAGCCATGGATGGGGTTGCGGAGCTCAAGGAGGCAAAGCCGAGGACGAGTGGCTCCCTGTCATCCAACTGGGCCGTCTGGTCAAAGATGTGAAAATTCTTGGAGGAGATTTATCTCTTCCCACTGCCCATCAAGGAGTCTGAGATCACTGACTTATTCCTGGGGATGTCCCTCAAGGATGAGGTCTTGAAAACTATGCCTGTGCAGAAGCGGACACATGCTGGCCAGCGGACCAGGTTCAGGGCCTATGTCGCCACTGGAGACTATAATGGCCATGTTGGTTTGGGCATCAAGTGCTCCAAGGAGGTGGCTCCTGCCATCCATGGGGCCATTATTCTGGTCAAACTCTCTATTGTCCCTGTGTGGTGTGGCTACTGGGGGAACAAGATTGGCCTCACACTGTTCCCTGCAAGGTGACCGGTGGTTGTGGCTCTGTTTTGGTGCAACTGATCCCTGCACTCTGAGGCAGTGGAATCGTCTCGGCCCCTGTGCCCAAGAAGCTGTTGCAGACAGCTGGAATTGATGGCTGCTACACCTCAACCAGGGGCTGCACAACCAACCTGGGTAACTTCGCCATGGCCACCTCTGATGCCATGTCCAAGACCTACAGTTATTTGACCCCAGACCTCTGGAAAGAAACTGTGTTCACCAAGTCTCCCTACCAGGAATTTACTGATCTTCTTGTAAAGACACACCAGGGTCTCCGTGCAGAGGACTCAGGCTCCCGCAGTGGCTACCACATAGTGTATTTTGTATAACAAATAAAGTTAATTAAGTTTCAAAAAAATAGCAATAACTGCAGTTAACTCTGACTGACTGTTTAATTGTGGTCATCTTCCTACACACTACACATAGATTATTTCTTTTAATTCTTACAGCTCCACTCCAAGAGTTCTCTTATTACTATCATCATCATTCAAAAAAAGAAAACACACAAAGAATGATTATATAGCTTGCCCAATGCCATTATTATTGTTGTTGTTATGTGCCTTGGAGTGGGAACCTACTCAAAGCTGACCTTACAGCCAGTTTCCAGAAACTGTAAACTTCACAGCAGGAAATTGCTCCACTTTCTCCCACGGAGCAGCTGATGGATTCAAACCACTTTCCTTTGGGTTGGCTGCACAACTCCTTATCACTAAGCCACTAGAACTCCCCTAAAGTCCTAACTAAATTGTGCTAAAATTGAAATCTACAGTAAGCCATCTACTTTATAACCTAGCTCTAATGGTCTTATATAACTGATAAAGAATTTTAAAATTTTTCCTTCATGTAAGAACATAGTTATTTATATTTCTTCTAATAGGCTTAAATTTCACTTATGTCACCTAAGTTTTTAAATGACAGAGAATTTATTTTCTTGATACATTGTATGACATAAATCAAAAAACCAAATCCACTGCCACTGAGTCTATTCCCTTTGGATATCTCTGTGTTTACAGAGCACAACTGTTTCAAAAGGTTTTATTGACTATAATCTTTATGAAAGCTGACTTGCAGACCTTCTGAAGCAACAATGGATGGGTTCAAACCCCCTCTTTCAGGTTAGTTGTTGGCAGATACCATCAAGTCAAGTGTATTAAGTTAGTAGCCAAGCACAGGCCATTTACACGACCTGTAGGGACCTCTGGTGGTCTAGTGGTAAGAATCAGTGCTGCAATCCCAAAGGTACACAGTTCAAGTCCACCAGCTGCTCTTCAGGAAAAGCATGGGCAATCAATCTCCTCTTGAGCGATTAACTGCCTCTGAAAACCCATTGGGGCAGCTATGGGTCGCTTCTAACTTGATGGCCCACAACAGTAATAGGGTTCTTAGGAAGCTCTGATGGTAAAAGAATTGAGCTGCTAATACAAAGGCTGCTCATCTCTGGTGGTTCAAATATACCAGTGTGGCTCCACAGGAGAAAAAATATGAGTCATCTTCTTAGAACTTGCAGCATCAAAAACATGATGAAAGGTCCTATGAGCTAGAACCAACCCAAAAGCAATGAATCTGAATGTTAGAGAAGACTCTTGCAAAAGCCAGGTTTGCAAAGTGGTAAAGGGCTCTCCTGCTATAAAAGGGTCACCAGTTTGTACTCACTAGGTGCTGCTTAGTAGAAAGTTGTGGTAGCCTGCTTCTATAAAGATTTATAACTCTAGAAACCCTATAGGGCAATTCTATTTTGTTCTATAGGGTTACTACTAAGCAGAAACAACTAAGAGCAAGAGATTTTAGGAGCTTTTAGACTCTTAATACTTCAATTCATAATAGTAACTGACCCAGGACTCCACTGACTTATATCACCTTCATTATGCAGAAATTTTCCACATAACAATTTGTTCTACATCCTGTTCCACTGGTTTTGTCTGTACCCAAGTCTTCCTTAATTACTCTAATTCAATAACAAAATTCTGCTATTTGAAAGGTATGCCCTTCAATTTCTTTTTTTAATGTTGTTTTCACTCTTGAAAAAATGTTAACATGGAGGGGGACCTTTTAGCATTTGGATTGACACTGGAAAGGTGTCAGATAGCGTTTCCAGGTTAATCTGGGAGGGAACAGACATCTTAATGATTTCAACGTTCAATAATAAATTTGTCTCCTAATTACGTATAATTAATTACATATTTTACTCCTAAACTTTCTATTCTTTCTCTGACTACCTGGTATTTTTGTCTATTTATACTTCACAACTGCTTTAAGGGATATTCTTCTCTAATTTATCTCACTGAAAATCCTAAATATTTTTTCAGACTAATATGTTATCTCGTATGAATAGCTTTGTTTTATTACATATTTTTCCTAGCATTAAATGGCTTTATTTAACAATTTTCCTCTTTCTTCTTTTTATTTTACATTAGTTTAATTACAAAGTTCATAAAGTGTATATACACTAGGTACAAGGGGAATGATTTTTTTTTTTAGAAAAATTCTTTTTGGTTTTCATACAACTATTAAGAATCTATTACATATAATCTTTTAACAAAATTATAATACACCTTAACATTTAGATTTTTATTATTAAATATTTGTCCTATATTCCTCAGTTATTTCTCAAACATTTATCTTACAGTTGTTTATTTAAATCAGAAGAGTCTTCCTTGCAACAAAGTTAGGATATATTCTGAAATAGCAAGTTCCTGGGAGCACTAGTAGTTCAATGGTAAAATCTCCTCAGCCCTGGAGGAAATTCAAGTTCAATTCCCAACTAATGCTGTGGCCACAAACAGAGAAGCGATAAACTGCATAAATGCACTGTATAATCAATATTGTTTCTAAAGACCACATTATTTAGTCCTAAAAAATGAATCTCTGATACCAGCTTATCTCAATCTATGGTTTCCAAAAATGAGTCCATTTTCACTTGT